ACCCGTAGGGTAAAGCGGGGGAGGGGGGGAAAATTAAAAAAAAAAATAAAAGAAACTCGTCCTTTCTCGGACCTAGGAGAATCTGGATGCCAACTTTGGTTATTCTAGCTTTTATTGTTTCTGAGATCCTTGCGTTCATACAGACGGACAGACGGACGGACATGTCTAGATCGATTTCTCTCGTCATGCTGATTCAGAATATATATACTTTATGGGGTCGGAGATGCTTCCTTCTGCATGTTACATACTTTGCACAAACCTAATATACCCTTTTTACCCTACGGGTATAGGGTATAAAATGAATATCCAAAAGATAGGTATTAACTATATGTCTAATATATTTTTATGTTATAACTTGTTGTGGTTTTGTTATAAAAATTAATTTTTCCCAGTGTTTTTGTTAGAGTTGCATTCAAACATATACATATTTACATTTCAGCTAAGTTAAAATCATATTCCGCATCGGTCCGCACAATGAAACTTGTACTTTAGATTAGCTAATATTTCTAGATTTTATAGTGTCAGTTTCAGCTGCAAGTTTTTGCAAAGTTTTTTTCAGCTTTCCCTCTTCTATGTTATTGTTTTCTCTTTCTTAAACGTTTGTTTTTATTATACTCTGTACATGAAATGTACAAGAGTATACTAGGTTTGCGCGAGCTGAAAAATGTAACAGGCAGAAGGAGGCATGGCAGACCCCACAAAGTATATATATTCTTGATCAGCATGACAAGACGAGTCGATCTATGTCTGTCTGTCCGTATGAACACCTGGGCTAGAGACACCAAATTTTGAACAAAGATGTCTTATGTGTGTACACTGTGCAATTTTCTTTTATTTTTTTGATTTTTTTTATTTCAAAGTCGGGACACCCGACTTTAGCTTTTTTACGTGTTTTTATATTTATGTAGAAACTTATCAATAAGAACTTTCTCAAACTTATATTTTTAATATCTCGTATTCGGAAATGTCTCAATTGCTGAAAAATCGAAAAACATATGCGAACACATAAAACACTAATTTGAAAATAAAGCCTACACATTGCATTAAATTACCAAGAAAGAATACAAGTATTACTTAAATCGGTTTTTGATTTGTTAGTTTCTTTAATTTCTCCGTTTTCATTAAATGATATATGCCTTGAATTAAAAACAATATGAGCATTTTATGATTTATTTCATATTAAAATTTTACAGAGTATTCAAAAATATCATTATGGAAAAAATGTCCCGTGGGTAAAACATCCCCCCTCGCTACGGCCATGTATGTATGTACATACATATGCTCAATTAAATATTGTGTACATATTTGCATAAGTTAACCAAATATCATTGTCAAATTATATAATGTTTAATTTAATATAAAACATATGTATGAATGAATATATCTTTGTAGTAATGGTGTGTACATACATATGTATTAATGTACGTATGAACATACATACATAGCGTTCATTGTGTGTGCCCAAGTTTTCGGTACCTAGCAGAGTAACTTGCTGCAAGATAGTTCCTTTGGAAACTTTTCTGGAAATGAACACAAGGTCGGAAGAGAAATAGTATATAATAAATAAATAAATACATATGTACATACATATAGTAATTGTAGGCGTAAATACGCAGCCCAGCAACGACGAGAGAGACCTGCTACTCTATAATGTGTACATATATAACTTATTTTATACCTAGCATACATATTTACATACATACATACGTACAAATTTAAAAAAATTCCGTAAAAAATCACAAAAAAACATACTTAATTTATACAGAGCAGAGATACAAAAATTTGTAAAACTGGTCTGGTCGATTGGCATTTTTTTGAGTATGTATGTATGTATGTATGTTATGTACATAGACCAGCATGAAGATCGTACAAAAAAAAAGCGTGTGTATGTATGTATGTAGATACATACATATGTACATAACCACATGCATAGCTAACGAACTGAGTCGGTCGTGCGAATAAGAGCATTAGCAAAATAAAATGCGGTATCAATAGTAATAGGCGTTTGCCTTGGAAAGTTTGAAAATTTTCAATGAGCAGATAGCAGCACGTTTTGTGCACATGTGGATCGTCAACGTCCGTCCAAGTTGTGGTCCATGAACTGTGTACACAGCGATTATGATTGGGAAGTAACGACGCGTCGCTTTGTGGGTCTTTCGGTCGGGACGGACTGAAAGCTGAACAAGCCGCCTGATCATTGAAATAGTCCAAGTGATGATTGGCGATAGGCGATAGGCTAAACGAATAAGCTCATTATCAAGGACTTCTATGTATGTCGGAGCCTTCATTTGATTTGAAACAAACTAAACATAATTCTGTTTTTACGCGGTCTTTTTGTACACGGTTCTAATTTAACACGGCTTGAAATTAAAAATGTTATACATGTATGGTTACACGGTTATGGTTATTCCATTTAGCACGATTTTTATAGCCTGTACCCAAAAGGTGAAAGGCTATACTAGTTTTGTGCGCATGTATGTAACACACAGAAGGAGGCGTGGCAGACCCCACAAAGTATATATATTTTTGATCAGGATGACAAGACGAGTCGATATAGCCATGTCCGTCTGTCTGTCTGTATGTCCGTCTGTCTGTATGAGCGCAAGGATCTCAGTAAGTACAAGAGCTAGGATAATCAAAATTGGTATCAAGGTTCCTATAAGCCCTAGGCAGATCGAGTTTGTTTCTTTTTTCTGATACACCCCCCCCACTCCCCCGCAATTCGTGTTTTTTCTTGTAACTCCCGTAATTCTTGGAATTTTGAAATCAATTTTGGTAGGTACATCCAGTTAGTACTAATGTGTCCGTGTGTCATCATGATAGGTCAATTCTGAAGAAAGTTATAGCCATAAGTAAAATCGCTACTCATGCGCTGCCTGCAGCTCTGTCGGCTGTTGTTGTTGTTGCTGCTTTGGTTCAACTTTGTGCTGCATACATACACGCATATAAACACGCATAGGTACGTGATTTATGATGTATGCTGTTAAAACTGAACATAAACATGTATTCTAATTTAATTTAATTAATTAATTCATTCATTCATTTTTTTTAACAATTTAATTTTTTTAATTTTCTTTTTTGTGGAGAGTACAGGCTATTTTACTGTCGGGCTTGCTCGACTGTAGCGTTCTATCTTGTTTATACCCTGTACGCGTAGGGTAAAAAGGGTATATTAGGTTTGTGCAAAGTGTGTAACAGGCAGAAGGAAGTATCTCAGACTCCATAAAGTACATATATGTATATATTTTGAATCAGCATAACGAGAGAAATCGATCTAGACAGTCCGTCTGATAGTCCGACCGTGCGTCTGTCTGGATGAACGCCTGGATTTCAGTAGCGACTGTAGCGCTCTCTCATGTTTTGATTTCAATTATTGAATACCTAAATAGAAAGGAACGCTAGAATCGAGCCGGCTCAAATAATATAAAAATCTTCAATACATACATACATAAACGGAGACATAAGCATAAAATTTGAGTTCAAAATTCAATAAAAATCACTAATAGCGGGGTAGTTGGGGGTGCATAAAAAAAAAACTCAAACTCGTACTTTCTCGGACTTAGGAGTGTCTGGATACCAAATTTGGTTATTCTAGGTCTTATACTTTCTAAGATCCTTGCGCTCATACAGACAGACGGACGGACGGACGCACATACGGACATGTAAATCAAGTAAAAAAGCTAAAGTCGGGTGTCCCGACTTTGAAATACTCTGTACATATGTTTACAATAATTATAGAAAATAAAAAAAATTAAGAAAATGAAAAAAAAATCAAATAATCGGTTTTACCTTTCTCGGTATTCGAATTCACGTAAAGGGTGTATAATTGCACATTTACATAGCAATTGCGTCTGTGTGAGTGTATGTACATATGCCTATGCGCATCAATTCGTGTCTGTGTAAGCATTTTCGCAGTCAACCAAACAGCAACATCAACAACAGCCGCGGGCAGCGCTTAAGCAGCGCTGCAGCAGCAAATATATTTATGGCTATAACTTCTTGGTAAATCGGTCTATCATAGTGAAACTTGGCATAAGGACACATAATTACTAACTGGGGGTATTTGCAACATTTTAGTTCGAAATTCTAAGAATTACGGGAGTTAGAGAAAATCGCATTTGTGGGGGAGAGGGCGGAGGGAGGGAAATTCCAAAATATGCATTTTCTGCGTATTCACACAAGGCACCTTGGACTAAAATTTGGTGTTCCTAGGTCTTATGGTCTCCGAGATATAGGCGATCATACGAATGGAAAATCGGGAAAACCCCCATAGGGGGGAAGTGGGGGGAAAATCAAAAAAATAAAACAAACTCGTATAGAATACACACATAACGCATCTTTGTGCAAAATTTGGTGTCTCTATCTCTTATAGTCTCTGAGATCCAGGTGTTCATACGGACGGATCGACTCGTCTTGTCACGCTGATCAAGAATATATATACTTTGTGGGGTCTGCCACGCCTCCTTCTGCCTGTTACATTTTTCAGCTCCCGCAAACCTAATATACTCTTGTACATTTCATGTACAGAGTATAAAAAGACATTGATCATATGCAAAATGAATCGTGCTAATTTTCAAACCGTGTTAAATCAAATCCGAGTAAAAAAGACCGTGTTAAAACAGAATTAGGTGTATTCCTTTCACCCTTTGGGTACAAGGTTTAAAAACACTGCACTTCTATTGTCCCACTACAAAACATTTTTAAAATGAAATGCAGAGGGCGCTTCGCTCACTTTCACATGTTGCTGAGCAGCTAGAGTTGCCATCTAAGCAAATGCCACTGAATGATTTTTTCGATTTATGGACAGTATTTCTAAAAGGGCTGCCACACTTACGAAAAACTATCGAGTGCGAAAGTATCGCTTAGCCTGCCAACTCATAGAATTCTACTTCATTAAATAAAGCGTATGGCAAGCCCAGTAAATATCACCGATGTTTGTTGTTGTCATTTTGTGTTGTTGTTTCCGCTGCTATTGAAATACATACATACATAGTTTCGTCGCATTAGAGATTGTAATTCAGTTTCGTTATTCGACGCTGCTGTGCATGCTGCTTTATTTTAAGCCTTTTTTGTAGCGTACACGCACGCAACAGAAAACCAGAAGAAACGGAAGTGCAAGTGCGCGTGTGTATGATTATTTTTGCGCCGTACGCAAAACAACAAAATCACAGAATCAGAAGGCAGATAAAAAACGTTTGACAGCAAAAACAATTTTAAGTCAGTCAGAATGACTACGTCCACAGTTAATCGACAACGACATCGTTCAACAAACGCGGCATCAACAAGCAACGATCCGCCATCCGACACTGATGGCATAGACGACGGCGCGCTGTCGGGTAGCCTTGCCAAACGTGATTCCGAGGAGGACAGCTGGGCATCTAAGGGCTACAATTACATCAATCCGTTTGTGCATCGCATACAAATTGATAGTCACATTGAGATAGCCAAGGTATGAGACATTGCAACAATTCTGCTTATGTATGTATGTACATATGTCTGCTTATATACATATGCATATATTATACATGCGTACATACAATATATACGCTACGCAAGCCTGGCGCAACGCTCCCATTCATTCATGAGCAGTGCACATCTACAGCGTTTTTATACCTGTATTGTTATTACTGTGTACATTTCATTGGGGCAGTGGCGTGACCAGAAGGGCCAACAACAAAAGAAGCAAAAATGCCCGCCCACTGAACGAATACATTCGCACAACATAAGCACTGACACTGCGTCATTGCCAACACCTCTTAACGCCCGCCATGTGTTTTATTTAACTTTGTTCTCGCACTTTGTATTTATCTATACATACATACTTATGTATGTACTCTGAGACAATTTCGCACATAAACAAAGATGAGCGCTTTCGTGCTTGTTGGCTGCACTTCCGTGGCTTACTTTTGCCAATAAGAAGGAGGCCACGTACGCATCCATCGCACTTGACATGCATAAAAAGCAGCAACGTCGGCGCCGATGCAGAAGTCGGCGTTAGCACCATTGTTTATTACATTACATTTTTCATTATCTGCTTTCTTGCCCATTATCCCAAGTCGTCTGAAGGGTTAGCTAGAAAATAAAGCAACTATGCCGACAGTCGTATGATTTGTCTTGTTATTGTTGCTACTGTTGTTGAGGGTGTGTGTGTGTGCGTGTGTGTGCGTGTATGTGTGTACTTGTGGCCATTTGGGGCTTACGCATCACCTACCATTATCCCCGACGAATCAACTAACCATTTCTGTAGCCGATAGCAGAAGAGTGAAAGCGTATGAAGGAGTCGATCTGTTGAATCTGTTAAATGGCATCTAAAAGGAGGCCTGGTAAAATAGTATGTAGGTTTGTTTGTTCGTTTGAAAACCAAATGCCCATATTTTTGCGCACTATTTGGACCCTGTTTCAATTTGCACTGCAAATGGCTTCAAACAAATTTGGGTGGCTTGGTATGTTGCATGTAAAAAACACATCTACCAAATGGGATAAATTAATTAAATTTAACAAAAAATAATTTAAAAACTATTGAAATTTTTTTTTATTTGTGTGAGTATTTTTTAGGGTATTGAAGAATCAAGTCAAGTCAAGTCTAGAATTCCATTCTTAATGCCTATTTTTACAGAACTCTCCCTGTTTAACTGATTTTGTTATTTGGGGATTCTGAATAGCGGTAGACAATAACAAACAGATCGTGTTCAACATTAAGCTTACTGGCTTTGCACAGCATTGCCAATTTTCTGTAGCGGGTTATATACTGCTATCGTGATTATTACGAACTCACACACTCTTTAACAATTAGTAAATACATATTGAGTGCGGCAATCGTAGCTTTGGTGCCGTAAGCATTCATTGTTATTTGTGGTTTTTGTTGTTCAGTGAATCAGTTTGTTTATTTGAATGATCGGCTGTTGCTGTTGTCGATGACGCCAAAAACAAAGCTGCTGGTTGATAAGGCGTGATTTTGTTTACTAAGCCCTCTTATACATACACATGTACATACATATGCAATACGCATCCATGCATAGGCATAGGCATTTGTTTCAGAAAGGCCTGGAGCCATGAAAACCTAATGACCAAGTCACACTTGGTCTGGCGCTTTTTTCGTCATGTCGTGGGGGGTATACTTGCGCGCTAAAATTGAAAGTCTTCCGCATAACCCACTAGGGAAGCGGGCAGTCGACCTACCAGAAACACGTTTCTTTAGCCCCTCTACCGCACACGGCGCACGCCTCTGTATCTTAATTTGATTGCCTACCTACTTCATCTGAAATGACCATGTTGCTAAGGTCAAGGCGTGTTGTATGACATTGGCATGCTTTTCTTGAGTTGGCGGTCTCGAGCGGCATGCAAGCATCATATGAATAAAGATTGCAATATATGTATGAGTGCATATTTTGTATTTATGTGGACTACAACGTTTCCATCCGCTTTACCCTTGGCTATAGGGTATACAAAGTAAAAAAGTATGTTCAAATTTTGTTCTTAAAGGCAATGAAGAATATATAGCATCGGTTTAGTCCAAGATGTTAAGTTCGCTCTTTTTAAGAATTCAAGGAATTGCGTATGTATTTGTGTGCGAAATACGAATACTTGTATGTGACAATTTTCGTAGAGCTCAAAGGTTACGAGACACGAAAAAATAAAACAAAATGTTTGTACGCTCATTCTCTAATTACAAAGTTCGTGCTTCGCTTTTTTTTTCTTTTTTTTTTTTTTGCTATGGACAGCCACTTTTTAATTGCCGCCATCGACACCTTATCGCATGATAATTATTTTAGACGTCGGATAAGTAATAATTTCAATCTGGAAATCTTTGGCGTCGAAGACGGCGTAAACTAACCCACGATCCGTTAGCTTACGTGTGTGATTCGGTACAAGGCACTTATGTATGATATTATTTTATGTATTAAACTAATTTTTCAGATATATGTTCTCACTGTACTGTTATTGCCAATTCGGGTAATGGGTTGCGTTCTCTCATTGCTTTCCGCTTGGATGTTTGCCTGTATTGGACTATATGGGATGACATTAGATGACCTGAAGGCCAAACCACTCACTGGATGGCGCAAGTAAGTCTAACATTATCTTAGCCAATGCCTTATACTTGTAGTACTGAAAACTGAACAACTGCAGTTTATTGCTACTGTAGGTATTGTAGCTACTTATAACACGAACAAAATCGTCATGCGTATGTATGTACATATGTACATACATACATACATAAATGTATCACTATTTTTATAACATGGGAAAAACCATGCGCTGCTACAAATTTTAGGGCTTCCCTTTAGATATCAAAATAATTGTTTTCTACTCACATCTGTATAGTATTGTGAGGTTGGTGTATTTCAATTATAAATACACCAACCTTATCTAATTTATTAGGTAACGATTTACGGTCAACAATTCTCCCAGCCGTTTAAGGCACCGTTACGCTCAGCATGGTACTACTTGTATGGTTAGATATATAGGCATATATAGCAGACCCGCAAAGTATATGTACATAGGTTCCTGATCAGCATAAGGAACTAGCTGCCTGAGTATGGTTCATGACCAAATTTGAGCCCTTTTAAAATCCAAACGCCCAAATCCGAGCACCTTTCAGAATTTTCCTACTGGAAATATTATCTGTTAATGATTATGTGTCCGCGAAGTTTCATCATGAAAGGTCCATTTGAATGTGAACTTAGTGTCTTGTTTTATCATTCGGTAAAAATAAATGGGAAAGTTAATTTGTATACCCTGTACCCAAAGGGTTAAAGGGTGTACTAGTTTTGTGCGAATGTATGTAACACACAAGAGCGCAAGGATCTCAGAAGGTACAAACGCTAGAATTACCAAACTTAGTATCCAGGTTCCCCTAAGGTCAAGTTTGCTTTTTTTAATCTACTCCCCCGATACTAGTAATTTTCCATAACCCGTAATTTTTAGAATGTCGAATTTGGTAATTATCCCGTTAAAGATTATTTGTCCGTATGCCGAGTTTCATCATGATAGGTCAATTTGAAAGGAAGTTATAGCGATATAAGTAATGTCTGTCCAAGCTCTGTCTTCACCGGCACTTGCATATAGACACGCATAGACACGATTCTGATATAAATGCATGACTACTTATTTATGTATGTATTCAATATGGGCATTTCCGATCTGACGTGACATTCGTACGAAAAAATATTAAATAAATAAATGAAAAAGTAAAATTTTTAAAATGTTTTGTTTTATAGTTGTAATAGATGTAGTGCGGTGAAAAAATTATAGCATTCGACCTTCAGGTTTATAAGATATAAGCCAAATTAAGCCCTGACGTGACGTTACAAAAAAAGGAAGTGGCTTTTGGATTGAATTACAAAATTGCAAAACTCTGCGAAATGGGAAGGACATTTTGCTTGCATTTTTGTCAGTAGGCTTTAAATAAAAATAAGTTTATTATTCAAGTTATACTTGTATAACTTAAAAATTTGTGCTTGTTTTTTTTTTTAATTTGAATTATGGTCTGACGTGACGTTACATAATTTCCATTGGAAAATTTGTACTTAGTATTGTATTTAAAAGCATTATTTAACGCAAGTTTAATTGTAAGATAATGAGTTTTGCCCATTTGAACGCACCTTTGTCCTGAAAAGTTGAAAAATAATTCCAGTCAAAAACCTTGCAAAAAAAAAATCAAAAGCAAAATCAGGAAATCTTCGTGCAATGAACTTATATTTATATTTTAATTTATTTGATGATTCCGCCTGATTAAGCCGTAATTGAAATTAAATTTAAAATAAACAAAATACCATGCAATGAAATTATTTACCATCTGACGTGACGTTGCACACTTTTGAAAATCAAAATAAAAATAACTATTTGCTGAATTGCTGATATTTTTATTACAACTAATAAGCTTTATCAAACTTTGTTTAATTTAAACTTTTCACGCACTTGCGATCATCAGCGTAGAGATAATGACAATAAATGATATTTTTCTGACGTAACGTTACATTAGAAGATCGGTAAAAGCAAATCAACAATTTTACCGTTAATTGATATTGGTTTGCTCTTCTGCATTTATCTGAAGGTTTGTTGTTGTAGCTAGATTTTTGCCTAAAAACGCAGTTGCACAATAACTCTTAGAATCGAAAATGGAAAAGATAAAATGCTCTTAAAATATACGAAGCTGACGAAAACCTGAACTGAACTTTGTAGGTCTATATTTTGCCATTGCAAATAGGTAAAGCTTTGAACTCTTTAATTTAATAAAATTTTAATATTTCTCTTTAATATAACAAGTAAAGAACAAATTTTATTTCACTGTCAGGCTTGCTCGGCTGTAGCGTTCCATCTTATTTTTCAACATGATTAGTAGTTCTTGTAGAAAGAACACCAGGTGCTCCTATTCGTCCAGCCAAACACTTAACAGTCTCCAATTTCTTACGCGTTTCCAGGCACATGCAGTATTTGACAGCGCGAGCTATGCGAATGCTCTACGCCTCCGGTTCGTTTCACTATGTCAACATGAAGGGTAGCCCGGCAACGGCCAAGGAGGCACCCATTTTGGTGGTTGCACCACATTCCTCCTATGTGGACTCCATACTAGTCGTTGCTTCGGGACCACCCTCGATTGTAGCCAAACGTGAGACGGCTGACATACCTCTGCTGGGACGAATCATTAACTATGCTCAGCCCATCTATGTACAGCGTGAAGATCCGAATTCACGCCAGAACACCATTCGTGAGATTGTGGAGCGTGCCCGTTCCCCGGAAAATTGGCCACAGGTGGTGATCTTTGCCGAGGGTACCTGCACCAATCGCAGTGCTCTCATCAAGTTTAAGCCTGGAGCTTTCTACCCTGGTGTACCTGTGCAGCCAGTGCTGCTCAAATATCCGAATAAATTTGACACTTTTACGTGGACTTGGGACGGGCCTGGCGTGTAAGTGCTCCAAATATTGCTTTACTTAAATAACCCTGAATTTTATATGTCCTTTTATTCTACAGTCTTCGCTTGCTCTGGTTGACCATGACACAGTTTTATAATCGGTGCGAAATTGAATATCTACCCGTCTATACGCCCTCGCCGGCTGAAATAGCCGATGCAAACTTGTATGCCAATAATGTGCGCGATGTTATGGCCAGGTTCTTACTTTTGGATTATAATTAACTGTGATGTGATACGACATTTATTTGTATTTTACAGAGCACTCGGCGTACCCACATCCGACTATTCCTTCGAGGATGTCATTATTATGAGTAGGGCCCGTGATATGAAAGTTCCCTTCCCCGGTGATATTGTGGAAATTGAACGTACGCTCGATCATTTGGGGTGAGTGCCTGCACTATGAATATTCAGTGATCTTTTCAACAGATCTATATCCACTGTCTTATATAGCATGCTTGAGTCGAATCGTGATGCTGAGCTATGCAATGAATTTTTAGCACTATCAAACACTGAGAAACTGGATATCATTACATTCGCTGAATTACTGCAGATTGATCTCAAGAGTCCGCACCTTCACAAATTGTTCTCCTTATTGGATCACGTAAGTTGCCTTGAAAGTTGCGTTGCTTTTATATCGTTACCTGCAATTTTATTAAAATAAGCAGCTACGTCATTTAACGTTTTTTGCTCAATTCATCAATGCCCCAATAGTTTCATTTGTTTAAGATGAAGATAAAAATAATGTTTTCAATAGAAACTGATTGGGAATAGAATAGAAAATTACTGTGTATGTTAGAGTACGAATACTTTCCGGGAGCACATTTGGCAGTACGGAAAATATTATCATCAGTTGTCAGGCGCGTAAAATTAATGAGCTTTCACATACGCTTTCTGTTTCTGAATATGTGTGCAGTTGAGAGTTGCGCCAAAGAGTCAGCAACACCGCCAACAGCTGCGGGCGGAGCTTAAATTTATGGTTATAGCTTTCTTTACAATGTACATATTATGATGAAACGTGACATACGTCCGTACATAAACACTAACCGGATGTAATTGACAAAATTGAGTAAAAAAAAACTCCATGAATTGCGGAAGCTATGAAAAACGACGAATTAGCTGGGGATGCATCAGAAAAAAGATCTTGACCTGCCTAGGGCTTAGGGAAACCTGGATATTCCATCTTTAGTGGGTGCAGGGGTATTTAAGAGCTTTGCACGCTCTGCGTTAGTATTTCTTTCTTGCTATTATTTTTTAGCGAAGTGTGTTTAGTCGAGCACTTCTTTCCTAGCATTTCTTTGGATAACCCTTTAAAAATCTCTTCCTCCGATGAGAAAAATGAAGGGTTAATTATGAATTTTAACAATCAAATGCCAATAAATAAGACTCCCTGAACTGGCTTAGTAAAGAAGTACCTTCGTCTTGGTCGGTCGATCCCATGTGTGGTTTTTTGTTCGATGAACCCCACTCCCCCCAAAATTAATGATATACCATAACTATCGTCACTCTAGTTCTATACCTAGTTCGACTATTGCTGTTAGTGCTTATTTATCTACAAGCCAAGTTTCATGGCAGCATTGCGCATACCTGAAAGGTACGAGAGTATATTAGGTATGTTCCTTGAAAACGTCTTGTTAAGCGAAATCGTGTTAAACGAGCCATGTACTCCATACAAAATAAGGGGTTCTAGATTTCGAAAAATGCATTAAAAATAGTCTTACTGTTTAAGTTTTCAAAAGTTTAAACGGAACGGTATATTAGGTTTGTGCAAAGTATGTAACATGCAGAAGGAAGCATCTCCGACCCCATAAAGTATATACATACATATATTCTGAATCAGCATGACGAGATAAATCGATCTAGACATGTCCGTCCGTCTGTCCGTCTGTATGAACGCAAGGATCTCAGAAACTATAAAAGCTGGAACAACCAAAGTTGGTATCCAGATTTTCCTGGGTCCGAGAAAGGACGAGTTTATTTGATTTTTTTTTAATTCCCACCGTTCTCTCTTGTTTTCTTTTGCGGCCATTGTAGAAATTGCCTATCAATTTATTTCATTCAACGGTTAAGCCATTTCACTTATCACAGATGCTTTAATCTTACTACATACATACATATGTATGTGCGCGTTTGAAGAAGTGACGCTTCTGTATAGAAAGTGGGACTTCCCCTTTTCTACACATTCTCTCATGTGCGGTAATACATACTATACACAAAAATATTTACGCAACAAGCGACAAAATATATAAGATAAGAACATATGATCAAGAGATCAGCATAGCGATATGGGTCGATTTAACCTTGTCAGCCTGTCTTTTTATTCGTCCGTCCGTATGAACACCTTTATCTAAAAGACCTTAAGAGCTAGAGGCACTCATTCATACACGCGATTTTGGTTTTTTGAATAGGTACAGGGTATTTAAGAGTTGAGCCCGCTTCACTCTAGATTTCATTTCCTGTTTATTGTAAAATACCAGGACGGGAATATAAAGTATTAGCTCGATATATACTGAACTGAAAGAATAGAATTGAAACTTAACGGCGATGGGTGGAAAAATGAAAGTGGAATAGGAATGACAGGGAAAACTTTTATTTATTTATATACAGCTTAAAGGTAATTAAAATTACAGATAAGCTATGGTGGTCTAAGCTATAGCGACGTAGCCTCAAGCTTAACTTAAAAATAATATGATTTTTTATAAAGAATTAGTTTTATATACAAAAGTTGATGGGTGCATTAATGAACATTTTCGGGAATTCTAAGAGAACTATAATTTATGAATTAGAATGGGAAAGATAGATTTGCGACTCATGAGGAAATAACTCTGTGCTATTAAAGACAAGGACGGGAATACTTGTATAGTGGGTAAGGGACCTCAAACAATGAAATTGCAACATTTTAAGCTTTACGACGACGTTTCTTCATCGCACATTCCACAGCAAGGCTATATACTTACATTCCATACATATGTACATACATATACATATGTATGTAAATGTATGTTTGCTTCGTTCTCGCTCCGATAACTCACCAGTTAAAATACATACATATAACATAAAGAGTTGGGTTAAGCCGTATCACTCTATAATACTCTGTACCCAAAGAGTAAAAACGTATTCGGGTTAAGTGAGGTTATCACGCAGGAGGAGGCGTGGCAGACCCCTCAAAGTATATACTCGTACATAGTCATATATGTATGTATATATGTATATTCTTGATCAATTTGACAAGACGAGTCGAGTTGATGATGTTTGTTCCGTCTGTCCATATGAACGCAAGGATCTTAGTAGAATAAGAGCTAGAATAGCCGAATTTGGGATTTTTTTGCATTGTAGGATTGTAAGCGGAGGGGGTGATATTACTATTCTATATTACTTTTCTATTCTAAAATATTATTTTCCTTTGCAGAGGCGTACGGGCACAGTGAGTCTCAAGAGTTTTCTGGTCTGCTCACTCTTTTGTAAATTGAAAAACAGCTGTATTTTAGCATTCTTGCGTGCGCTTGTTCTGGTAATAAATTTGAATTAATTTCAATCTCACAACCCTTACTAATCGGCCAACGCTTTGCAGATATATTGTGAATCAGAGGAGTGCATTGATCGTGCTAGTTTTGTCAAGCTGATGCGTCATGCCGGCGGAAAACTTACCGAGCAGAAGGCTCAATCGCTCTTTTATGCTATAGACACTTCCAATTTGGGTTACATTTCGTTTGGTGAGCACGATTTCTCATCAACTTTATGCCTGTATCTATTTATTTTGGTTTTCTTTTCGCAGAGAGTTTTGTTCAATATACACAAGAAAAGCCAGCCTACAAATCTCTGTACCACAAAGCGGAGCATATTAGGCGGCCAAAACAATCGGCCAGCGCTACATCCACAACTACCGAAACAACCTTGGCGTCGTCCAACTAAGGAAGACCGACAAAGGCATTCAACTTGGATACCCCGACAATTCGATCCTGCGCCAAAACTTAGCTGGCCTTTAAGTTAATTTTAAGCAGAAAGTTGAAGAAATATGAAAAACTGTATAACTGTGTATTTTTAATATTTATTTATGTGTATGTGCGTAGATTGACGAGTTTTTTTTTGCACCATTAATGTAACTATTTTATTATATTACTTAAACTCAAGTCATTTCGTCTTTGTGATTCTTATTATACATACAATATAATGTACGTTATAAAAAATATTTACATATATAGTGGCAGGCATACACATGTGCTACGATACAACAAATATTAACAACATTATGAAGCATCAATACTGCTTTAAATAAATAATGTTTCTTCCATGCCAAATGCTTAGGAGGAAGAGAGGGATTTTTAGAAAATTTTTAGCGCTCAGGCTGGAGATAATATTATCGAATTTGTTTCATGAATATGCGACCTAGATATTTCATATATGTATGTATTGATTTTGTTTTCCCATAAATAACTAAGACGACGCACTGTTTTTCGTTCATATTTGAAAATATATCAGAACATCTAAAATATTAATAGCCCCAACGATATTAAATGTATAAATATTTTTCAGTCGCACTCCGTAGTCATTAATAAAAGAATCCATATAAGTGTTAAGCCCTCCTTCATAAACATACACTCAGATGTACGCATTTGCATATATTGTTTGTATAATTAATGCAGTTGTGATCATGTTATATGAATTATGGATATAATTATCTTGAAAATCAAATACCGTTCTCATGGGCCAGCTTGAAAGTTAATAAGTAAACGTGCACTCCAGAAAAATAGTTAGCTTATATTTCTTTGCACATTTATTTAAAGTTCTGTAGTTGATAAATGGCAGAGGCATTTTTTCTTGTTTTGTTAGTTGTGTTGGTAAATGACTGTTGAATGCAACTTTAAAACCAAATAGACTACACATATATACATATGTATATGTTTATATTTACACTGCAAGTATGCCATGGTACTTTTTTAATAGCGTAGCTGAAACATACGTAGCTGTACTTAAAGATATAGAAGTATGTATACATGGATAGAAATGGTTTACACTCACTTATTGTAAGACATATAAGTAGTATGTATGTAAAAGCACACGTGCAAATAGGATACGCATACACAGTTGTAAAAATGTTATTTTCAAGTTAAAACTCATACCCGGACTAACATCATGCATAAGTGGTCTCTCCAAATGTGCCTTTGGTATTATTTGATATTGATTATAAATTTGAATTAGTGTCCTTTGTTATTGATATTTTTTGACTAAAGAGCTACAATTACAATCAATCTATGGATATACATATTTGCAAAACTGTTACAACTTTTTTTTTTTTAATTATACGATTTGGAATCTGACTTTATTATTTTTTTGTGCTTTTTATAGACTTGTTAAATTTGAATTTGAAAATATACAAGTAGATTCTATTCTTTTTTCAGGATCAATATTTCATAAAAACAAAGTTAGTTGCTAGACCCAGGCGAAAAGGGAATGCAAACTTTTTGAAAGATCTGACAATGTGATAGTTTTAAGGTCTGAAAGAATTGTTATGAGTTTATTTGCTTTAATTTTCTTTTAAGATGATGGCACTTTATTATTATTTCAATAAAACAATGATCCATAGTTTAACATTTCACTCATAAAAAAACTAAAACATATTCAAACACATAATGAAAATGTATGTAAGAGATATTATTAGCATTTAAGCACTTAATATTATCCCACAGAAATAAAACAAGAAAAGGGGAAACCCGCCCTTTTGAGGCGAAACCGAAATTAAACAATCGAAAACTGCTCAAATACATATGTGTGCTTATATTAAGACCAGCAATAAAGACAGTAGTTTATTTCAATGATTGGATAAGGGTGTAAGCGCCAGCTGCACATCCGACAATCTAGAATGGGCGTTCTCTGCCGACGTGATTTAGATACGCCCCCTAATCGACATCGTGGGTATCGCATGTGTGGCATTGACAGTTGAACATTAACTGAAGCCGCGAGTGGAAGTTTAAGCGTAACTTCTAAAGGACTCTTTAAGTATATGTACATAATTTTATTTTTTTCTGTGGTTTACGTTGAGTGCATTAGAGAAAGTAAAATGTGCCAGTGAGCAAGCAAAAAATGATTTGCATTGGAATGGCTGGGAGAGAAGCATTTATCCCATTGCTGTTGGTGGCTGCGCTAAGCATTGTCGATGGCTTTGTCAACTCGTAGGTTCCGCACAGTATTGTACAAGTCAAGTGATAACCTCTGTATCCGCACCCTTCCCACAGTCCCAAAATTATAAACAAGGATGGAAATCTCATATTTGAATCGGGATCCAATCGCAACATTAGCTTTCTGCTAAGCGGTAAATCGCGTCTGACCATTAATGGGAACTACGATGTTCTTGAACTGCTTTTGGCCATCTCCGGTAGCAATGGCTCAAGTTATGCCAAGAAAAGACAAGGCATTGGCAAAGATGAGTGGAGCACACAGGAAGATGCTGCTGATATACGGGATCTAGCCGAAGATTTGCTGTCGCTTAAGACCCGCACCTATGGAACTAATGGGCTTAGTGCACAACTGCGACAGCAGATGAATCGGTAAGCCGCAAACCATATAAATGAGATAAAGCCCTCTCCAAAGTATTTATTTGATACTGAATTCAAAAATATAATTAGCCAAAATGTTGATATCACCGGTTAAGGTACTGCATCTGTATAACATATTAATGGTTTATCAAGCTTTTTCAATTTTTTTTATACCCTGTACCCGTAGGGTAAAAAGGGTATATTAGGTTTGTGCAAAGTATGTAACATGCAGAAGGAAGCATCTCCGACCCCATAAAGTATATATATTCTGAATCAGCATGACGAGAGAAATCGATCCAGACATGTCCGTCCGTCTGTCCGTCCGTCTGGATGAACGCAAGGATCTCAGAAACTATTAAAGCTAGATTAACCAAAGTTGGCATCCAGATTCTCCTAGGTCCGAGAAAGGACGAGTTTATTTTTTTTTTTTAATTTTCCCCCCCTTCCCCCGCTACAGAATTTCGTCAATAGCGTCCACATTTCAAATGCTACTTAAACCAAACTTTGCACACATCATTTATATATTATCTACTATTGTTCAAAATTTTATTCAATTCGGTCAATTCTAAGAAAAGTTATTAGCGAAACAAATTCTCTCCAGTGCAACCCCCCAAACTGCTGCAACAAGTTCGCTCTTCTTCTTCCTCTTTTTGCTGCTGCTATGGGCACATATAACTCAGTGACGGAAGTTTACCTGGGTACAGGGTATTACACTGTCGGGCTTGCTCGACTGTAGCGTTCTCTCTTGTTTTATTATATATGAATAATAATAGTATATAATATTATTATTTCGCCTATTCCACACAAGCCGGGAACCTTTGATTTCGACATGTTTGGTTTCGTCTGCATTAGTTTCCCGGTGCATTCAGTATTGTAGAGAATTTACAGACTCGTGAAATAAACGTCCGACACTGATTAATTCGTGTTGCTGCAGCTTGGGGGGCGTAGATATTAAATAAAAGAGCCTCGTGTTGCTCATGGATTAGGAAAGCTAACATACCAAGATCTATTAATGTAGACGAACATGGCTAGATGGATTTATATCGACATGGTGACACTATTTGGCACCGCCGAACACCGCCTGTACAAACCTGATATGGCCTATTTACACTTTAAGAACAGGATATAAAATTAGTGGAAAATATAGTGCCAGCTTATGTTACCTACCACCCATTTTGGAAAACTAGTGGATCGCATCTAATGCAGAATCACTCCAAATCGTAGTGTCCATTTGTCTGTTATCATCAGTACTCCTCCCACAGATTTAGAAAATATGCACAGAGTCGAGACTGACCGTATCAGCTTACGTACATATGTAAATTTATGTATGTATATACAAGTATAACTGGAGGGAAGCTGTTAGCGAACAAATTTCGCTCCAGCACTACGCCTACAAACTGCAGTATCATGTTCGGTCTTCTTCTTATTTGCTACCACTAGGGGCGCATATAACTCAGTGTCGGATATTCGTCTGGGTACAGGGTATTTCACTTTTGGGCTTGCTCGACTGTAGCGTTCTATCTTATTTTAATTTATAATAATTTATTTATATAAATCCATTTTTTTAAAGTTTTTTTTTCTTAAGTTTTATTTTTTTGTAGGAGTGGGTACTGGGTAGGTAAGAGTTAAGCCCGCTTGACTCTAGCATATTCCTTTCTTGTTAGTTATATTTTGTTTTGGAGATAACAAAAAAGATACTCGTAGAAATGGACATGTGCAGTGTTTATACCCTGTACCCCGATCGATATTAGTAATTGGCCGCGGGCTTTTTGAATAATTAGATTGTTTATTTCATTAACGGCATCATTCCTTGGTGATACTATTGCCCTAAAACACAACCAATTAAAGTCCTTGCCGTGTAAATTCGCGATGTCAGGGTATACTGCATCCTTTAACATTTCTAAATTATAGACTATTGTCGCTAGAGATTCATCCAGTAGGATCTCACAATTTCTTCCTAGATTTGAAGTTGGAAGAAGATGAGCTCTCATATTCGTCTATTATTTTAAATTTTCAATCGAAGTCCATAAGGGAGACGATTTCAAGCATGTTTTGAAGATATCTGCTCGCGTATCTCTATTAATGACGGGAAGAGTCTGTCGGAAATCTCCAGCAAATACAAAAGTAATCTCACCCATATGAGCAGAGGAGTTTCTGAGAACTTTTAATGTTCGAATACTTTTAAAAACTAACCTCAAGGTAACATGCCGTGTTGAAGTCTGAATAGCAAAGACCAAAACAGAATTAGAATATGAATTGGAACTAGTCTCGGGAATGAACAACAAAATATAATGCCATTCTCGGTTCGAAAATAAAGTTAAAAGTGAAAATTAAGTGCAAACTAACTTTTGATACCCTGTACCCGTAGGGTAAAAGTTCAAGTTTGTAAGTTCACTAAACCCTTCTGGACTGCCACCACATGAATTGAAGTTAAAAATCAAAATTCCAATCCTGCTTTTGAGAAATTTAAGCCCTCCGAGTATGTGGAATGGTACGAGGCTGCTTATTAAAGAATTGAAGGACAATATAATTGACTCGACCATAATCACCGGCCCAGCAGCTGGTCTACTGGCTCATTTATGAATCTCGTCTGTGAATATCTTTTGTTCTGATTATAAAATTGATTATAAATTATATTATTTATATTTTTAGCAGAGAATTTTAATAAAATTGTCCAAAATGGAAATTATCTAAAGAAGCTGCCGATTTGAGGATTTACTTAGGCGACTCCTCATCTGCATCACCATTGGCTTGTCGATTTGGTGCTTCTTCAGCTTTATGCTTGTTATTCTTTGCTGAACCGTCATCCTCAAGCTCATTGTTGGCCGCCTTTTTGACAGATTTCCTTTTTTACGGTGGCTGCTTCGACCCGTTTCTTTGCCAAATCCTACTACTTGGTCTACTACTTGGTCTACTCTTTGCTCTTAACTCGGCATCCTTTTCCATTCTTTTTTCTCCACGAATCTCCCTCTACCATATTTTGAGTGCCAGTGCTTCAGCTTTCTTTTTTTTTATCACTGCAATGGGTTCTTTAGCTTTCTTCTCTGCATCTGCATTCTTATTTTTCTCGGCTTTTAGCCGATTCTTAAACTGCGTCGACAGCTTATAGGATAGGTTCACGCGCAATATTTTCCCATCTGCCACAGCATTCTTGAGTTCTTTCGTCAGGTACTTCTTAAAGCGGTTCATGTTAGTCACGTGGTGACCATTCTCTATTATTTGCTTCATGGTGGCCGTGCTAATGGCATTGATGGCAAGTGAGAACATCGTTTGCTTCCTCAAATTCATCTTATTTCCACTGTGATGTTTTTAAAGTGTGTGTTGAAATTCAATATTTCAGAAAAATTGTCGACTAGCGTTTTTAACTAGTTTTTGTGTAAAATCTTATGAACGTTTGCACAGAGTGTAGAAAATACACGGAGAGTGAATTCAAACTCTCTGGAATGCAATCTTCTGGGAAAATTCATGCTTGAAGAATAACTATAGTTTCTACATAAATCCTATGGCAACACCCTAAGAAAGGAATTAAAATGCCATAAATATTGTATGATACACCCGTATGAATTCCTTGCAGAGTTCGTAGATCTTTCGACACTCACTTCCGTTGCAGGAACAGAGTGCACAACTTTAGCTAGTTGGTATAAGTTCGGAAAATCAAACTTTTTTCCTTCCTAGTACTGCATTATATTTATATTTATGCCCACTGGCTTCGGGATATAATTATCTGTTGCAAGATAAGCTATTTGGAATTTCTTATCAAATACATCTTCAGAATAATCATTATTTTATAAGTTTTATTTGTTTGCTCAAAAATATGTTTTAAAGTAAAACTCAATATTAATCATTAAATTTTGAGAGAATGAATAAAATTAAAATTAAAATTGAATTAATAGATAATCCTTAAAATATGATATCTGTAAACTCCTCGCTTTCTTAAAGTTACGATTAGTAAATGATTTTTTCCAAAAAATAAAATAAACTCGTCCTTTCTCGGACCAAGGAGAATCTGGATACCAACTTTGGTTATTCTAGCTTTTATAGTTTCCGAGATCTTTGCGTTCATCCAGACGGGCAGACGGACAGACATGTCTAGATCGATTTCTCTCGTCATGCTGTACTTTATGGGGTCGGAGATGATTCCTGTTACATACTTTGCACAAACCTAATATACCCTTTTTACCCTTCTGGTATAGGGTATAATGAATGTGTCTATATTCCGTTTTCGCGTAGCTCTTGTTCTCTATAGTATATATTTTGTCGACGACAAATGAGATTATCGTTTACGAATATCTGCTGATCTGATTCGTTGAGGTGTGTTTCTTGCAAGTTTCTTTTTAACGCATCGCGCATTATGAAATTTGAAATATGAAATTTTTTTCGAACCAACCCCACTTTGTTTTATATAAGTATTAAGCCCGACCTTACCTTTCCACTTTTTTTTGTGGTTGTGGGCATTTAGGAGTTGGTCCCGCTCGACTCCAGCATTCATTAGTGGTCCCAAATCAATCATCATTAATAGTTTGCCTAATTTAAAAATTAGCAATATCGGAATACTAATATGAGTTCGATTCCTTTTGGCAGCACCCGAGTGGCGCGTGTACTGCTGCGTCGCTATCAGCAGCGGCTGCGAACTGTGGAGATTAAGGTGCAGCGCCTGAGCAGTCAACTGGAGCTGAATAGTTGCCAGAGCAATCCCTGCGGGAATGGGGGCAGCTGTTACAATACCTTCAATGGGTTTCGTTGTCAATGCCGCAGTGGGTTCGAGGTAAAAATGAAGTCTATATGTTTCCATGTCTGCAGCTCTAATGTGTACAAATTCAGGGCACCAAGTGCGAGAATGATGTGAACGAGTGCACGTTGTATAGAGGCACCGACCTGGGGTGCCAGAACGGGGCGCAGTGCGTAAATCAGTTAGGCTCCTTCAGCTGTATCTGTACGCCGGGCTGGTACGGGGTGCATTGCACTCAGAGGAAGGGCGACTGTTCCCAGTCTTCGACATGGGAGCTGTGTGGCCATGGCAGCTGTGTTGCCAGCAGCGACAGTTTTGGGTACAAATGTCTCTGTGAACCGGGGTGGAAAACCAACGGATTGACGCCTGCCTGCACCGTAGATGTGGATGAATGCAGTGCTGAGACACACACGCCCTGCATCACCAAGTGCATCAATTTGCCGGGATCGTTCACCTGCGCCCCGTGCGCCGCCGGCTTGACAGGCAACGGGGTCAGTTGTCGCGATATAAACGAGTGCGAGACGAACAACGGTGGATGCAGTTTGAGTCCCCATGTCGACTGCATCAATAGCTATGGCTCGTTCCATTGTGGTGAATGCCCCGTGGGTTGGCAGGGCGATGGACGCAGCTGCACGCGCAGCAGCACTAGCGAGTATGGTGATGGAAATGGAGGAATTATCACTGGAAATGGATTCACGAACTGTGCACAGCACGCATTCATATGCCATCCGTCAGCGAAATGCTCGGAAATATCAGGCACCGTGGTATGCAGTTGTCCGACGGGAACGGTGGGAAGCGGCATTGGACCAAGGGGCTGTTTGCCGGGCACCGCCAATAACTGCAACGCGTTGCCCTGTTTGGTAAGTAGGGATGTACTAAGTGAGTAAAATCTTTTCTTATAAATCTTATACACATTATAGAACGGTGGCACATGCGTGGACGTCGGTCCCAGTAATTACACTTGCATTTGCCCGTACGGGTATCGTTTGCCCCGCTGCGAGCCCGTTCCTGATGCTTGCCAGCCAAATCCCTGCCACAATGGTGGCCGTTGCCGCTCCCATGACGGTGACTTCCTGTGCCAGTGCCAACCGGGCACACGCGGTCGGAAGTGCGAGACACGCTTCAACAGCTGTAATGCGTTGCTTACAGGGATCAGCGGTAGTCTGAAGTATCCGCCCGAGGGCACAGGCTATGATCATAATGCACAATGTGCTTGGGTCATTCGAACCAATGAGTCGCTTGTGCTGAATGTAACATTCAATAAATTTGATGTGGAGGATGCTACCGAATGCCGCTTCGATTGGCTACAAATTAATGACGGACGCACATCCGCGGCGCAGCTGGTTGGACGCTACTGTGGCAACCATCGCCCACATGGGGGAAACATCATATCTTCCACCAACTATCTATATTTGTGGTTCCGCTCCGACAACTCGACATCTCGCGAAGGCTTTGATCTGCAATGGGAATCGATAGCTCCCCAGTGCGGCGGACCCGTGGACTTTGATACTTATGGAACAATTGCCACACCCGGATCACCTGGTCAGTATCCGCGCAATCGTGACTGTCAGTGGCATCTACACGCACCAAGCAACAAGCGCATCAAACTGACCTTCTTTAGATTGGAGCTAGAGCAACACGCCAATTGTAACTTCGATTATGTAGCGGTGAGTAAAAATCCTACAACTCATGGCATTAGATGCAAGGTACAAAAATAAATTCCATGGATTTCAGAAACGGTATAAGGCTATCTGAAAAATTAAGTGGTTTTCAGGGCAGTTTACAATGAGAGATGCACATAATTCGTACATAGACTCTTCCAGCTCACAAGCTATTCGCGGGAACGAAGTTGACCTAAATAAGGTGCACTTTCCATTTGCTCGCCTATTGCTGCCGGGTTGTTCTCATCATATTATACAAAACAAGAATGAAATGGTAGAGCCGGCCTTACTCTTAAGCACCCTGTACCCATATCCACATCCACAAACAGACACAAATATTATCCAAATATTTCTATACTCTGAACCTGCAAGGTATAAGGACGCTCCCCCGATATTGTGCATTTTGTATAAATCCGTTTTTAATCTAAATCTTAGAGACTCTTAGAGACTCAATTACAATTTTGTTTATTGTCTTTTTTCAATTTTGGTAATTGTGTTCAATTTTTATAATTATTACTATATACAGCTAGGAACAGAGTATTTCAAAATCAGGGCACCTGACCAGCTAAGTGTTTTCATCTGTGAAGTATTCTTAAAAGGCGTTCGGCCATCTAGGCAGTGAAACCCATGGGTGGGTCCCGTAAACGGACAACTATCGAAACAGTCAGCACTAAAAATCGAACATCTTTATTGTTGAATTTGTATGTATCCACAGATTACCGACGCCATCTCGGGCATGGAGTTGTACAAATACTGTACCAGTGGACATCCGGCGCCACTTCTTTTGCCAACACACGAGGCCATTGTGCATTTCCACTCGGATGCGGAAGGCAGCGATGGGGGCTTTCAACTACACTACTCTACGGAGGAACGGTTGCCTGGCTGCGGAGGTATCTATACGACCCTTCAAGGCAGCATTAAGTCTCCTATATACGATGCCGATGAGATGATGTCCTGCGACTACGAGATTCGCATGGCCCCTGGTGAATCGGTGTTTATTCATTTTGTGTCAGTGGATCTACCAGACGCTACTGACTGCATAGAGCTGTATGATATAGGCGACGACAACAGTAGTGTCAGCATATTGCAAGCAAAATATTGCGGTGGCTATGCTTTGGAGTCAGAACTGCCTCCTGCTTTCAATTCACTTTACAATCGGGTGCGGATCATGTTTTATTCACGTCGTGGACGCTTTGAGCTGTCCTATCGTATGGACTGCTCCTACGTTTATGAGAGTAACACTGGTGTGATTTCTTCTCCCGGCTATCCCAATCTAACGAACAATGATCGTTTTTGTACCTACAAAATTATCACCGAGCCTAGGACAGTGATAGAGCTTACCAGAATAGATTTTCAACTGAATGATAATTCACAGCTGGATAGTGACGAAGAGAACGATGACTGTGCCAATACCTTTTTGCGGGTAAGTAAGAGTAAGAGTAAGAGTAAGTTAGAAGCCAAGTAACTGTAACTGTGAAGGATAAGTCAGTGAATTTGGCTTTTGACCTTGTTCTGTAGACACATTACTTAGTTAGATTAAAAGTCGTGTTAATTTTGACTTTGTAACACACAGATCAATGACAACCTCGATAAAAATATGCTTGGCCCGTATTGTGGACAAACGATGCCCGAGCAGGATCTGGTCAGCAAAACAAATATGCTGATATTCCACTTGAAAACGAGCAGCACCAGTACTGGCCGTGGCTACAAGTTCAGATACAGGGCTGTTCCTATGGGTGCAATGGATTGCGGTGGTGTGTACACCAAGTCCAACCAGACCATACGCTTGCCAGTTGGTCCAGATGGTAAGTATACAGATAGCATGACTTGTTTCTGGGTCATCATGGCACCGCCTCGAAAGGGCATCATGCTACAGTGGCTTAGCTTTAGCCTGGAGGCGAGCTCCGACTGCACCTTTGACTATGTGGAAGTCTATGATAATTTGGCCAATAATGATTCGGATGAGCCTTTGGGGCGCTATTGTGATCTCATGCCACCGCCCGACTTTGTGAGCAATTCCCGATTGCTGACAATCAAATTTGTTTCGGATCACAGCGACAATGCGGATGGATTTGAGTTGGGCTTCCAGTTCGTGGACAACGATAGCTGTGGTGGGCATATTCACGCATCCGTGGGCCGCCTGACCTCTCCCGAATTCCCCAAAAACTATACAAATGGTGTGGACTGCGAGTGGCGAATTACGGGTCCCCAGGGCTCACAAATCGAGCTACAGTTGGAGTTCTTTGAGCTAGAGGCCACATCCAATTGCTCTGGTGATTGGCTAATGGTTCGAAACGGTGATTCAAATAGTTCTATGATTATTGGGCGTTTCTGCGGCACAAGCATTCCTTCGCGCATACCCTCATTTACCAATGAGCTCTTTGTACAATTCCACTCCGACTCATTTGTGAATGCGCGCGGATTTCGCCTAGGTTGGCGAGTTTTCGCCAACGGCTGCGGTGGCCGTTTACAATCAGAGGAAGGCGTCATAACATCACCGAGATATCCCAATGAGTATCCAAATAATGTTCACTGCGAGTGGCAGGTTAGCGTGCATCCGGGTGGCGCAATTCGGTTCACCATAGAGGATCTTTCTTTAGAAACGCTGTCCGAATGTCATTACGACTATCTAGAAATTTTTGACGGATACAAAAAGGCAAGCAATTCACTGCTGTTCAGACCTTGCCAAGCATCCGACGACATAAAGGAATTGGAACTTACAAGCAATGAAGCCACGATAATCTTTCATTCGGATAACAGCAATTCAGATCGTGGTTTTCGCATGTCCTATAGAAGCGATTGCTGGCGGAACATTACCGACGCACAGGGTGTTATCGAGAGCATTAATTTTAACGAACGGTTGTTTGAACGCAACGTGAATTGTAGTTGGTCCATAAAAGCACCGTCCGGAAACCACATAGAGCTGGAATTCTCGCATCTCGAGAACAATTTGAGGGATTCTTCGGGACTGTATCTGCAGGAGTCAGCGAACTCAACAGCTCAGTCTGTCACTAGTCTAGGTGCCTATAATATAACAGGAGACACGCTGACTATAATTCACAATTCATCGGATATAAGCTTTCGGCTAGAGTATCGAATTGTGGGCTGCTTGCATCAGCTGAAGGGCGAGCGTGGCGACTTCCAATCACCCAACTATCCGGGAATGTATCCAAATAATATGGAATGCTATTGGATCATCCACGCAGATCAGGGCAAGCGCATTGAGCTAACCGTCTTCGAATTGGATGTCGAGATGAGCACCAACTGTAGTAAGGATGCGTTGATTGTAAGCATACAAGTAGAATGTCATTTTAGTACTGGTCATAGTAGAAGCGACTAAACTCCCATTTCAGATTGCCAACCATGCCACTGAGTATAATGTCAGAGAACGTCATTGTGGTAGTATTCCCAAGCAATTAATTACCAGTGCCGGTCATAGGCTGTACGTGCGCTTCATAAGTGACTCATCACACAATGGACGGGGCTTTAATGCCAGCTATCGCATAATAGAGAGCAGTATGTATGGAAAGGTATGCTATTGATCTATTGCTTTCAAATATTCTCTTCTAGAGTGCGGTGGCAAAATGATCACTAAGCAAGGTATCATTCAATCACCACAATATCCCATGCCCTATCCAATAAACTCGAACTGCGAGTGGACTATTGAGGTGTCGCCACATCACACCATTAACTTTGAGTTGGAAGACATTTCGTTGGAGACCGGGCATAGCTGCGGCTGGGACTATCTGGAAGCGTTTGACCTTTCGGCAGATGGTATAGACGACAGCGATGGGAATCGAATTTTTAGAATTTGTGACGTACCCGAAAATGAAAACATGCACTCCAGCTCAAATTTGGCGCTGGTGCGCTTTATAAGTGACGACTCAATGCAGCATCGTGGCTTCAAGCTACATTATTACGAGTCCTGCGGTGAAACCCGTCTTATTGATGAGACGGAATTTGAGTACATAGATATAGCGCGTCATGTGCCGAGCAACGAAACCTGTGTGTGGAAACTAATAGCTGCTGATCCAACAAAGCGAATTATCTTCACGCCCACTCATGTGCTGTTAAATCCAGTAGCTGCCGCTAAATATCCTACCGAAGGAGACTGCATGCCTAATGGCGTCCAAGTCTACGAAGGCACAGAGGCGACAGGAAGGGCCCGACTGCAATACTGCAACTCACATCCTCCTGCTATAATTTCTAGTGGTAATGCGTTAACGATCAGCGTTCCTTTCAATTTAGTGTCCGAGTTTGAGAGTCATTATATGACCATGGATACGCTTTGTGGGAGTCTATATTACTCCCTTTATGGCAAGTTTACCTCGCCCTACTACCCCGAGTCATATCCGGTGAATATAGAATGTCAGTGGGGGATCGAAGCTAGTGCTGGCAACTCTATTACTGTGACCTTTGAGTCTCTGGACATGGAACAATCAGATGGGTGCAATAATGATTATCTAGAGGTAAGGGAGGATGACGAGCGTGGCACTTTGCTTGGAGTCTACTGCGGTAATAACATTCCCACACCAGTCAAAAGTAAAAGTGCGGTATGGATCAAGTTTAAGAGCAACGATGACATCGTAGGAGAAGGATTCATTGCATCCTATAATTACGGTAAGCATACATTTAATGACTAGTTTAGTGTGTCCTTCATGCAACTTTCAACTTACTTGAAGACCCCTTATTTTCCAAATGCTATTCAATGTTCTTTTAGAGCGTCATAACGAGCTTTCGGGCACAAATGGAACGGTGGAATCGCCGAGATATCCAAGTAAATTTCACTCACAAGATATATACAGCTGGCGTATTACAGTGGAAAAGGACTATGTGGTGCTGATACGCATGAAACATATGATAGATATAAATCTACCACATGTTCGGTTTTACGATGGCTACTCCGATATTGGTGCACAACTCGATTTGAGCGAGAGCGATGTGGTGCGCTCCAACACAAACATATTGTATGTTACTGCAACGAGTGGCCCGTTCCAGTTTCAATGGGAACGACTCTCCAAAGAAGCACTGCGTTCAAATCGCACAGCCGAAGAGCGGGCGCGTCAATGTGGTAAACAGCTACTTACCATTAACAATACAATAAGTTTCAACTCGCCGGGTTACCCACATGGCTATGCAGATAATCTGCAATGCGAGTGGACTTTTGTGCCTGGAGATCCGGCCATGCACGTCGTTCTTGATTTGGTTAAAGTAGACCTTGAGAGTTTGCATGGCTGTTTCGGAGACTATGTTCGGGTCTTGTCCAGCAACGATCTAGTAACATGGAAGCCCCTAATCAAAACATGCAATCAGCCTAATGCGTCGGAAGCCAGCACTTGGCATGGCAAACCTTATCTGCGTTTAGATTTCGTCACTGACTTGGGCATCAATGAAACCGGCTTTTCCACAAGAGTGCGAACCATTTGCGGCTCTGAGCTCAATGCGCCTAATGGCATCATAAATATTACACGAATTATGTTGCCCGGAACACATGAGTGTGAGTGGAAAATTCACGTCCGAAGAGGTCGACGCGTGCGTATTACATTCTTAGAATCACAGCTTCGAAGCGATACATCTGTGGTCACATCAGAGTCAGAATCTTGCCGGACATACTTTTTGGTGCGCAATGGACTTGCAGAGGACTCCCCCTTTTTGGGACGTGGCAAGTATTGTCAAAACAACATCACCGATATATTGGAAACATCGTCCAATCGCGCATACGTCAAATTTAAGGGCTTCTTGCGATTCCGGGCCGCTTTCCGTTATGAAGAGATTAGTCATGCGTGCTCCGATGAAATAGTGCTAACCGAGGAATATGTCTTTAATGGTAACGGACGTGAAATAACTTCGCCAAACTTTCCTAATTTGCCGAATCCTCACTCCGAGTGCGTGTGGAAAATCAGCGCACCGCAGCATCATACAATAGCCGTAGAATTCTTAGGCACCTTCGACTTAACGCCCGGCAGTGGATCTACTGGAGATTCCTGTGATCGCGAATACATTCAAGTGAATGATGGGAGCACTGAAATGATGCCCATGCTCGGACGCTACTGTGGAAAACAGAAGCCGAACTCGATTTTTTCTACTGGCAGTGCGATGCGCTTAAAGTACTTTACGGATGTATCTGAGCCACATCAGGGTTTCCGAGCTCGGCTTTCACTGGGCCGCTGTGGTGGCACCTACTACAGCAATGAGGGCGTTATTAATTCGCCGGAGCACTTACAAATAGATAGAGATTATCGTAACTTCGAGTGCGTCTACACCATAGAGGTGGAAAAGGGCAGCACCATAAATCTAAAGTTCGATAGCATGCATCTACCTATTTCTGAAAACTGCTCCGAGCACACGCATCTTCAGCTGGACGAGATCGAAGCTTTTGGCTTTGATGGTGAAGAAAAGGTTAGCGATCAGTTGTTGCTTTGTGGAAATGGGGCTAGACACTATACGGTGGAGACGAATAAGCTAATAATGCGTCTTCGCCTACTGGATGGCCCGCTAGGTGCGGATGAAGGCTTCAAAGTGTCATACAAGGCTATTGGCTCACGCTGTTCTGAAACCATTGTGGCAATGACTGGTGTTCTGCAATCACCGGGCTACCCGGATGGCGTGACCACCCCAACGCATTGCTCGTGGCGCCTGCAAGTGGCTAAAGGGCGGCGTATTAGGGTCCAGGTACTTGACTTTGATATGGGCGCTAAAAACACCAGCCAGGTGTCTTCGTTTCGAGGACGTCTCTCCTTTGCCAACGATTTTAAAATGCAGTCTATTATTGGACGGTATTCGGAAAGCCCGCCCGGTGATATCTACTCCACGGATAATACCATGGGGATAGATGTATTCCTATTACCTATAAATCGCCATCGCGGATTCAAGTTACGCTTCACCGCCTACGGCGAATCAGAATGTCGTCTTGGCCCCATCGAAGAGGGTACGATGAGCTTTAGGCGGGCAAATGGTACGCTGAGCGCAGGAAATAACCTGGTGCATTGCAGCTATGAACTTAAGGTTCCTGTGAATAGCACACTGCTTATCTCAGTGCGCTCGCATGTGAGCCGAGCACCATTGATGCTTAACCCCTATGTCTGTGCCATTGTTTCGCCGATGAGAATTTATCTCAACAGCGTTCAGCTCTTACCCCGTTTGCTCTGTAACAATAGTAGTAGTATTATGGACAGCAAGCCGATAGTGCGATTACCTTTCTCAACACAACTCGAAATATCAGGTAATAGCCGTAACGGTTTACAAGAGCTGGTGGTGGATTATAAGATGCATAATTGCGGTGGCATCTGGCGCCTTGATTTTGGAAATAACGTAACTATACAGCAACCGCTCATGGATAATGAGTACAGAAATAGTAGCTTGGACTGCGCCTGGGCCGTTTGGCCACCTTCGTTCAGCGAAGAGGATCTAAATGAACTGGAGTACTGGGCAGATGATGTACAAATTGAAATATCGTTAAGTGTCGATTTTGCAGGCGATTGCAAGGAACACTACTTGGTGCTCTACAATGGACCCGATCAGAACTCACCTCATCTGGGTCGTTTCTGTAACCAAGCTACTCTGTTGAATTTCGTAGTTGAGCGCGGCCTATTTTTCGAATACCACACCGAGCACTATGAGAGCAATTCTACCTTTAATGTGACGCTTAAGCATGGAAGCGGCTGCGGAGGGAAGATTGTATATCCTTACAGAAATATTGCATTTTACGAACAGTATAAGAACAATGTTGAATGCGTGTGGGAAATTGAAACTGAGCCGGGCTTCCATGTGGGCCTATCCTTCCTCAATCGTTTTTACATTGAATCAAGCACGAACTGTAGCAAAGATTATATTAAGGTACAGGAGCGCGGCGATACTCCTGGCGAGTGGATTGACTTGCAGACGATTTGTGGCCGTGAGCCGCCCAATGCGATAAACACCAGTACCTCAGCCATGCGAGTTATCTTTCGATCGGACGGGGACATAGTAGGAGATGGCTTTATGGCCCATTTTGATCGAAATTGTGGTGGTCTTCTCTATGCCACGAGCACCAACCAAGTGTTGACTAGTCCAGGCTACCCGCAGCAATACATGAAAAATCTATACTGTAACTACACCATTATTCCATTGGAGTCGAGTGCGCCAGGGGTGCTTGTGCGCTTCCTCGACTTTGACCTTGAACAACCACCTATTAGTAATTGTATGTTTGACAATGTTACCGTACAGGTCGGCAAGGATCGCCGCACCGAAGCCGTACTCTGCGGCGTGAAGTACAAGCACGAATATCGCGGACAGGCTATCTCCCTAATTTTTCGCACAGACATGTCCTTCTCCGGCAAGGGCTTCAAGCTGGACTATAGCACTAATTTATGTGGTGGCAACATCACCCAAACTTCCATGGTAGAATCGCCGCGTCAGCATACAGACAACAGTTTTCCGCCCAACAGCCACTGCTATTGGAATTTGAAGGCACCTGTCGGTCACAAGTTTACCATAAAATTCGAATATCTGGACTTTGAAAGTCAAATGCGTTGCAGCAATGATGGAGTTGAGGTATTTAAGGGACCCGTTGCGGATCCAAAATCACGCCTGGGGCAGTTCTGTGGTGACTTGACTGGTCAGCTGCCAACCTTAAATGTTGATTCGAACCAAGCTCTTATACACAGTTACTCGGATGATCGAGATGCTTCCCGTGGCTTTCGCGCATTGGTGCGAGTAATCCCCAATTGTGATGAGAAGATTCTGCTCAGCGCACAAAACAGCTCGTACACCTTCAATAAATATGCAGATGGATACACAGACGATTTGGACTGTACCTATATTTTCACAGCTGAGCCAGGCTGGCAGCTTCAGCTCGAGTTTCGCAGTTTCCATGTTGAAGCAACAGAAGAGTGTCGCAACGATTTCCTAGAAATACGTGATGGCGCCGGTCCATTTGCAGATTCGATGGGCGTATTCTGCGGGCAGGTCTTACCGCCGAAGCTAACGTCCTCGAGGCATGCGCTCTTCTTGCGCTTTGTCAGCGATACAACAGTCAACGATAGGGGCTTCCAAGTTGTTGTGACTGCCATTCGCAGTGTCTGCGGTCAACAAGAATTTAAGCTGGAAGGCAATGCACACGTCGAACTCAATTCGTCGCTGGATGAGCAGGGTCACTATCCAAACAATATGTTCTGTTACTGGCGTATTGTGGGTGAGCAAGCAGTACATCTGAAGTTCAACAATTTTGATCTACAGGAGCCCAATTCTAATGGAACCTGCGATACGGACTATTTAAAAATTTACAACCGCGAGGTAAGTCGGATTACTCGTAAGCAGCAGAACTCTGGCACAAAGTCTTGAATTGACTTGACCTTAAATCATATTCTTGGCATATATGTACAACTTTCAATAATTGTAATGTCAACCAGTTAGTGGCGCCAAAGCTTGTTGTGAAACTTTGACAGTTACCAGCGGGTAACAGGGTCAACTAGGTTAGTGCAATTGTACGAAACCCACAGCAAGTACAAGAGCTGGTAACCAAGCTTATTCCCATTTCCCTGCTATGCTTGGAATTTCGGCAACTACAATCCGTTAGTTCTTATGTATGTGTCCTCGTGTTAAGTTTCATCACGATTGGTCAATTTCAAAAGAACTTATGTGTAATCTCTGCCCGGAGCTTTTGTTGTTGTTGTTGTTGTTGCTTTAGCTCAACTCTGTACTGCACACAAACATACACACACACATACTTGTAGTCAACATAGACACAATTCAGATGTAAATGTGCAGACACCCTTTACGTGAGTTCGAAACCCGAATCGCTCAAAAACAGTTCATTTATTATTACAATTTTGTTAATTTGGTTTATTTATACCCTGTACCCGTAGGGTATACTTGTATTAGGTTTGTGCAAAGTATGTAACAGGTAGAATGAACGTAAGGATCTTAGAAACTATAAAAGCTAGAATAACTTAAGTTGGTATTCAGATTCTCCTTGGTCCGAGAAAGGACGAGTTTATTTTATTTTTTGGAAATTACAGAATTTCGTCAATAGCGTCCACATTTCAAATGCTACCTAAACCAAACTTTGCACACATAATTTATATATATGTAATTATCTACTGTTGTTCAATTTTATCCAATTCGGTCAATTCTAAGAAAAGTTATTAGCAACAAGTTCGCTCTTCTTCTTCCTCTTTTTGCTTCTGCTATGTCGGTGTCGGAAGTTTACCTGGGTATAGGGTATTTCACTGTCGTGCTTGCTCGACTGTAACGTTCTCTCTTGCTTAATTTTCCCCCCAATTTCGCTTCAGGATTCCCATTTGATAGAGTTGGGCACGGGTTCCGAGCTAACATTCAATGGTCACACTGCCGGTCAGACTTACAACAGTTATGCATTGGAGCACATATATTGCGGCAACGGTCTTCCTGACGACTACTATTCCAACTCGAAGGAGGTGATTGTGAAATTCCATAGCGACGCAACAATCACAAAGCAGGGCTTCTCTCTAACGGCCATGGAGGCCCAGGGCTGTTTCCGTAACTTCAGCGGTGTGCAGGGTCGCATATATGTCAAGGATACGGCGGACCATTGCGACATTTTCATAAATGCCCCCGACAACCACTCGCTAAGCTTGTACTACAACGATCTGATGTATGGCACCTACGATTGCGAAATGGAATTTGTCGAAGTGTTCGATGCGCATACGAACACATCGTTGCAGAAGGTGTGTTTCTTCCAGGATGCGGCAAAAAGTCTGTTCAGTACCACAAATCAGCTGCGCATGCGCATCAAAATGAGCGGGCATTTTTCGACGTACGACATCACCTATTTGGCGAGTCGTGATGGCCCCGGATGCGGTGGTGACCTGTACAATACGGAGGGCATATTTTCCAATGCATTCTATCCACGCAATGTGCGCAACAACTCCGATTGCCGGTGGCGAGTGCGGGTTCCCAGCAACACACACGTACTGCTTGTATTTGAATGTAAGTGCACTAGCAATAATATTGTGTTGTCTCTGTCCGTATCTCGTCGAATATGGTGTCTAGGAACCCTCTTGAACACAAGTATGAATCTTCGGTATAAAAAGAACAGTCAGTTAATGGCGTGGCTCTTTCTTATGTTTCCTCAATACTCGTTTCGAAGATATGAACGTGTATCTCTTGATTTCAATACCCAATATCAGAATGAGTAGCACTATACAAAACGTACTACTTATTATCCTACGATTGATAGATTTCCATTTTTTACTTCTATAGCCACCATATTCGATCGAACCAACGACTAAGTCAATTATTTGTGCAGCAGGGTTACCAACAGGTGAACTTTTCGCTCTTTTGATTCGGGTTTTTGATGTTTTCCGAATACATTTCTATTTTTCACAAACATGTATTAACATTTTCATTTGTCCTGACTTTAGGCCGGGTATCCCCACTACTAGTCCTTCAAGTGCACATAGTACACTATTAACTCTTTTAACATTTATACATAAAGAGGCATATCTAGTATTTACATACCTGTGACAAAACCCTGATTTTATCCATTTTTTTTTTTTTTTTTTGCCTTTTTCTTAACTTTGCGTATCCATAGTTTTTGATTTGGGATCTAAGAGCACCTGCCACACAGACTACGTGCGAATTTTGGAGCGCACGAAAGGGGACCTGGAGCAGGAAGTTCGGCGCTTTTGTGGTGAAGATAAGCCCAAGGTTTATAAAAGCTCCCGCAGCGAGGTTATCGTCCATTTCCACAAGACCGTCAATTACGATGGCATCGGCTGGGTCATTAAGTTTGTGAGCGTCTATTCCAATTATGATATACCCAGCTACATGCTGCACTAAATATCTTTTGAATTTCGTTTAAAACCAGAACATGACTTTTTTCATAATTTTATTGAAAATGCTTTAAATTAGTTAACTAAAAAATAAGTTCTAATTATTAAATATCCGTATATACGATAGAATTTGCATCTTTGCTTTCACTAGCACTAAACATTAATAATAAAAAAAGAAATTTAAGGGATTGTATAATTCAAATACATGGTTCGTATTTTCATGTTTGTGTTACTGCTTTTGTTGCTTGTATTGAACTACATAGTCACATACGGAAATTATTTAAAAAAATTACATTTATATACGCATAAATGCTTTAAAGAAGCAATAAATGATAAATTAACACTTTAACTTCACTTTAACAATTAACTGACCATCGATTACCACAATCTTGTCGTAATAAAAACATACAATGTAATATGTAAGTAATTAATGCATGATATTAATTTATTATTGTTTTTATGGTCGCGTAAAAAAAAAAAAACGTAAGCCGTAAATCTTGGCGGGGCAGCGCAGCCCACAGCTGAGCACAAAATACATACATATGTACAAAATTGGCTGGCATTAAGGTTTCAAAGTTTGAACTAAGACGTATCCATAGGGAGGGGACGAACGAATAAATGGGTAAGACTAGGGCGAAGGGTTGGCCGATTGTCATTGAATAGTCACGTAAATAAGTGTATCAATGCAATGCCGAAAAATCAAAAGAAATGCAAGGTATGGCCTATATTTATATATATATATATATATATATGTATATATATATATATATATATATGTGTGTGTGTATGTATATATCTATATGCATGCGTGTGCGGAATAATGATTGCATGATTATATGTACTGTAGTTATTTGGATAACATTTAAAATATGTATGCGCGATATGGTTTCTAAAATGTAATACAATCACACGCACACACACGCGCACACACATCCTTAACAATTTGTAAAAACAACGTGAACAATTTGCTATTTATGATTCATCGATTGATTGATTGGTTGATTGACAATATGTATAATGTATGCACTTAACTTTGCACATGTACATACATACATATGTACATGTATGTACATACTTAGTAAGCATATGCATAAGCAGTTGCAGCATGTTCCAAGTCTTATAACACACTCATACAAGTACATTGGGTAAACTATCTGCAACTCTAACAGCAGTTAAAATATACCTTTTTTATATTTTTCATTTCCTGTTCGCACATTTTCATTTACGCATGTATCTAAACATTCATGAAATAACTGCATATCATATAATTGTAATTGGCGCTACACTTATGTATATCTGCATAATGTATGTTTATTTAAAACAGGCATTAGAAAAGTCATAACAGAACGCGAGTTAGGAAACCATGACAGTGATAAATTCTTAACCTTTTCATTGCTTGGTGGTAAATATTTCTTCTTGTGCTTGACTCCCTTAATTTCCTAAGCCATTGTATTTCTTTTCTTTTTCTTTCTTTTTTTTTTTGGTATATGTATATAAATGTAACTATAAAATTTATGCTAAGCAATAGACATTTAATAATAGAATTGACAATTATGTATGTGATTCGTTGAATTATTTTTGTTGTTAAGGAAAAACAAAAATGTTTGTTCTGACCATTGCCTGATGCATCACATTTATTGTTGCCTTCACACCCTGGTTTCGCCAATTGGCAATTATTGGGCAGCAAACTTCATACTACTAAGTAAGTATGTATTTGTAGGTATAGTATGTATGTATTTTTGTATAATAACTTTTTGCACATTCACCAATTATTCAATTCAATTTTTAACAAACTCTCAACGGGCCTGTAACAACAACATTGATTGATTGATATGTATGTATGTATGTATGTATGTATATTTATGTTCTTATGTATTTATCTATATATGTATAGATGTACATATGTATAAAGAAATTAAACACGCACAGATGTACATATTTCTTTAATACGAGTAAGTCCATTTTAGTAAGCCAACTTAACATGCGAATCAAAAAGGTTTTGTATAAGCCGACGAAAGCGAAAAGAGGGGAAAGTTAACTTTTGTTTTTATGTTCTAGTTTTTGATAATTTTGATCAAATTATCGGTTTTGTGTCCATGTGCGTTGTGCTCAACATTGCGAGCGAGAGCGAGGCGGCGTGCACGCCAGAGCGAGAAAGTAAGCTGTCGGTCCATCGTGTTCATTCCTGCCTTTAGTAAACCAGCTAAAGATACACGAGCCGTTGGGCTTACACGTCCATACACTGCTACATGCAGCAGAGTAAGCGATGAAACAAACTTTTGGCATTGCGACGCGCTCGGCTGGCCCTTAGCTAACAGATGATGCCCTGATCCAGACTCAAATTGTTGGTTGCGGCAGCAGCTGCATTCTTGGTGGCAATCACAACATGATGATGGTGATGCATATGATGATGATGGTGAAAAGGCAGTCGTCCATTTAAAAGCAAGTTTGTGCTACTACTACCTGTAGTTCCACTGCTACTACTGCTACTGTTACTGTTAGAGCTTTTGCTAGTAGCGACGGGTGCTGCTCCTACATTGGCTACATTTCTACCACTATTCGGAAGCTGATTCTGATCCTGAGTCTCACTCTGACTCTGACTCTGATGCAATGGGCCACAAATGAAGCCGTTGGTTGACTGGGTCGGTCTGTGAATACCTGTTGTCAGTGGCTCTGAAGCGCGTCGCCTTACGGGTAGTATGGGACTAAAGATTAGGTTACATTTGCTGCTGGCCAGGCTCTTGTTGTGTCTGCTGCTGTGCTCATAGCTGCTGTTCTCATAGCTGCTGGCAGCATTGCAGATGAACCGCATGTTCGTCACCGTGCCCATGGAGCATTTCCGAATACTATTTAATGTTGTAGACTGCAGTTGTTGCTGCTGCTGCTGCTGGTGCTGTGAAGTTTCACCGTCACTATTGCTCCCGTTCTCCAGCTGAAACTTCTTCACCAGTGCCTTGACGGAGGTCCCAGGAGTCTCAACTGACGGCGCCTTGCGTATAACTTTGGGTGTAGTAGGGGCATCGGGAAATAGACATGGCGTTGTCACATTCGAACTGTTGTCAGTATTTGGCACTGTTGCAGTGGATACAATGGCTGCCTCCCCGCTGCTGCCTATCAAAATGGTCGCCGTGCTGCCGATACCGACTCCAATGCCATTGGGCTTAGCCGGCTTCTTAACAAATGTAGCCGTATAAGTATTCTCTTTATCAGAATCGGACGCACGACGTGTGGGTGTTGCAATTTGCGTTGACTTGGTCGTAGCTATTGTTGTTGTTGCTTTTGTAGTTGCAAGACCGGACACTGTGTATATGGCCATTGTAGTTTCTGATGGTGGGCTAGATTTTGTGCTGCTTCTACCGCTGTTGGTGTTATTGCTGTTGCTGTTGTTGCTGGTGCTGCTACTGCTGCTGCTGCCGTTGCTGTTACTATTGTTGTATTTTGAGGCAGCTATGGGTATTTTGGAGACATTACTGTGCATTCTGCCATTGTGAGTTGTTGTTTTGTTGCTGCCATTACTGTTGCTATCGCTGCTACTGCTGCTACAGTTGCTGTTGCCGTTGATTTGTGTTCCCGCTGTTGCTGAGCTGCCTGTGCTATAATTGCTCTGCTGGGACTCCACAGTCTCAACATCCTCTTCGTCAACATCTTCTTCGCCGTCATCATCCTCACCCGGCTCATTGACAAAGTCTGCATCCGTATTTGTTTGCATATACATCTGTCTGATTAGCGCGCATTCGTCCTTTAGCCAAATGTGGTCCAGACAGCCTGCGGCGCTCATGCGATCGCTTGGGTAAAATCGTATGAAGTTAGTATAACTAAGTAAGATAAGGAAGGATTGTAAACTCACTTTGGCTTAATTCGCAGTGCACAGCGTATAAAGTCAATGGCCGCTTGAGAGACGCCCCCGAACAAGTTATCGGGAAATGTTAACGCACACTGCGATATATTGAGGAAGGTCTCCTGTTTAGTGTCGCCGCCAAATGGTGAAAATCCTGATAGAAGCACATATGCCAGCACGCCCACAGACCAAATATCGGTGAGAAGTGAGAGCGGTTCATATTGCAGCACCTCGGGCGCCACATAGTCGGGCGTACCAGCCAGTTCACGCACATTAATACCCTCGCAGACGACGCGCGATATGCCGAAGTCGCATAACTTGAGCCCATCTATAATGATAAGCAATGTGTAAATTAATCCAAATGATCAACAATAAAGAAGGTTAGTGTCGAGCAACAGTCTGCGAAAGTCTTGTCTATAACAACATAGCCGATGTAACGGGTAAAATGTCCTGTCTACAACAACATAGCCGATGTAACCGTCGTCTCTGTGAAACTTTGTTGGACCAGAAGTATATAAGTATATACATTAATTTCCTCATATGTACGTGTATAGTCGATTAGTTCTTTCACGTAATAAACGTGTGAGAAATTTTCAACTGAAACTGAGAGGGGACTGAAAGCTGAAAGCTGTTAACCTTACGATCATATTCAGATATCGATTAAAAGCTACCATACTACAGAACAGATTAATTTACAAATTCATCGATTCCTTTCACATACATATTCTGCATTTATCGCCAAATGGAGAAAGCGCATTATCGATCGGTAATTCGGTTATATATATATATGATGTTGGATGGCATGATTCTCGGTGATCGCGGATGGAAAGAGCGTGAAGTCATTGAGACTCGTACGGAACGGTAATCAAAATTTTTAATGATAAGACAGGTGTGAGGATTTGACGAACCGATGTACATAATTTCGACTCTGGGACTACTAAACAAGAATCGATAAGCCTGCATCGAATAGTCAAAAACAGAAGAGGGAGTGTTGACACAGCACAGAAGGTGTTTTATTTTCATATGTATCATCGGTATTTTAATATATTCTCGTTAGTGTACATTAAACAGTGCTCTAAGAAGTCGTACCCCAATTCTCACTTTCACTGGAAATGATGCTAATGTAGAAGAACTTGGGCTAGTTGTCTGGTTTTATGACACTAGACTTGTTGGTTGATATTACTAATTATATGGAACAATAGAATAAGTCATTTTCAGTTGCGATTCGATAAAACTGAAATCGATGTTGCATTTTTAACAGGATTTTATTTATTTTACTCACCCTCAATGCGTTCACCGGCGAGCAATATATTTTGAGGCTTTAAATCTAAGTGGGCTATGCTGCGCTCATGTAGAAATTTGAGAGCCTTGAGCACTTGGCGCATACAAATGCGCGCATGCGCCTCACTAAGGCACTCCTCGTTGTCCAATATCGTTTGCAATTCCCCTCCAGTGGCGCTGTAGCGACATGGACAAAAATTGAATATTAACATAATTTAAACACAATTTTGGGGGTTTTTAACATAAAACAATTGAACTTACAGCTCCAGCAGAAGAGCCGTGTCCGAGCGAGTCTCATGTACCGCATTCAAGTTGACAATGTTCTCTTCGCCCTCACATAGCATTAAGACAGCAATCTCATGCTTGATCTCCTTGTCTGAAGATTGTGCGCGTCGGCGTCGTTTTAAAAACTTTGCAGCGAAATGTAGACCGCTATTTTTGTGTATTGCACGACGCACTGCAGCGAATTTGCCCCTGTGGAGTGGATGAGAAAAAATTAGTAAAAGCAGTCAAGAAGTAGTCTTCGTCTGCGTTGCTGAAATATATACTCTTCTCAGTGCCTTACAACAAAAGCAATATGCATGGGCCCGAGCTATATATGTATATATTCCACAGCATTCTTTACAAAATGACAAAAGCATTTTATGCAAATTATATGGTTTCTACAAGGATGACCGCCTTATACTTATGATATATGGTAGTCTAATCTGAGCTTAACCTGTGTTGCACAAAGGACTTTTAAATGGAGGGGGAAGTACTAATTGCAGCAGAAAGATGGACCGTTTGAATGCTGATCAGATACATATAAGTATGAGCTTTACACTAACTGGGGGGATTTTTCGAATTTCAATGAAAATTCCTAGAAATACGGGAGTTATGGAAAATCGGTGATTGCGGAGGAGAGGGAGAAAGGAGGGAATTTCTGAAATATACATTTTCTGCGTATTCACATCTTGGACTAAAATTTGGTGCCCCTAGGACTTATAGTCCTAGATATAGGTGATTATACGATCGGGAAGTGGGGGGGGGAATTTCAAAAAAATAAAACAAACTCTAGCTCTTATAGTCTGAGATCCAGGTGTTCATACGGACAGACAGGGCTAGATAGACTCGTATTGTCATGCTGATCAAGAATATATACATATACTTTGTGGGGTCTGCCATGACTGCTTCTGCCTGTTACATTTTCCAGCTCCCGCAATGTACATATGTACATGTACATTTCATGTACAGAGTATAATGAACCTTTGCATTTTTGGGTAAAGGGTATACAAATGCGTATTTTGACACGAATACCAATTTTCATTCATAAAGTTGCCCAAATGCATATATTATTGTAAATGTAAATGGTTGGCCGGCAGATAGCAACTGGCCCATGGTCAAAAACCGGCACTGTCCGTCACACATATGTGACATAAAAATGAGTCAGACGCCTCGAAGTGGTCTGCACGTATGTACATACATACATACAAGTATATAGTATGCATATACATAAGTATGAGGACGTTAACGTGGTCGTGAACGTTGACGTGGTCTTGTAACTGAAATGCCTGACAAAGTATGTATGTACATACATACTTGTATGTATGTACATGTACGTGCCATAATGAAGCAATTGCGCTTCCGGCAACAGCAACTGCAGCAACAAAAAACCGAAACAGTTACCAACTTGGCATACCAAATAGTTGGCGTCTCCTCCTGGACGACACATTAAAAACAGCAGCTCTAAAGCTCCACTGCGACATGAAATAATGGCGGCAACGCCGCTAACGAGCACACACATAGTCTCTCAGCCTTGTCAGGCGGTTACCGATGCCTCTAATGAGCGCGTCGCGCTATCATCGCCTAGACTCGTTCTCGGTTCTAATTGCACGTCGGTGCAGAGCAGACTAGACGAAGCTGGGCCCAGCAACTGAAGTTTGTCTGCCATGTGACAGCGCCCAACGCTTGACAATTTCAAGTCCAGTGCCAACATTGTCGGCTTTTCCGGCAGCATCGTGCTTTTAAAGCGAATACCGGCAGCTCGGTACCGATGTTGACGGTAGAGATGAGCTCTGTTCACATAACTTTATTTCTGGCACATCTACTTGTACGTACGTCTCAACTCACAGTCCCGACAATAAAACCAATGTCACAACCTAATGTTATATCAGCTGCAACTCTATACAGTTATTTAGTACGCCCTGTGCGGAAAAAATTCCTCTCTCTCTCTTCCCAGTAGAAAAGCATTCCAATTGCAAGAACAAATTATTAGAAATATTTTTAAATATATATATTGCAAGTTGATTTTTTTAAAACTATTTGGAAGTGTTGAGAATATAAATTTAAAATTAAGTACAATTTCATTGTGTTTCCATAAATTTGGAAAATTTTAATAAAATTTGGCAATTACTTTTAGTAAGTGTTTTGTGTGTCCGTATGCCCGATGTACATACATATGTATAGGACTAATTTAAAAAGAGTTATAAATGTGATATCTTTCCAAGCTCTGCCAGCAACTGTTGTTGTTGTGGTTTTGCCTCAACATTATACTGGACACGCGCTCACGAATATATGTACATACCCATGTAAAAGAATTATAACGAGTGCGAAATAGGGTTCGCTGTAAAAACTATATTGCATTATTTTTCGACTTTTATTTTCCGTTAATTTTTCCGCTACTATTTACTTGCAATAGCTTGCAGCTTCGTTTACTAGAGCGAAATAAGTAGCTGGGACAAATAACAAAAAATCGTTGTTTTTTTTATTATTTATAACCTTAATTATATGGAATTTATTTGATTTGAGAGAACTCCTCAAAGGTTCTCCATTGGATTTAGATCTTGGTTTTTTTAAAAATCCGGAAATTCATGGCAAACGCAATCAGGAATTTAATATAACGATTGCCACACGACGTGTAAAAATACTTTCAAGCTCACCACAAGTGGTTTCATATGCAAAAAAAAAAAAAAAAAATGTCCAAATCCGAGGAACTACCAAGACATATGTATGTAGGTCGACACGATTGAGCTTTGCAGAAAAAAACTGTGCAAAAAAAACTTAGTTGCCTTCTGTCTGCGTTAAAGTGGACAAATAATTTAAATTTATTTATTCAAGTGCAACTACATATAGTTAAAAATTGAGTAAAACTATAAAAATCGTTAATAATTAGTTAATTTAACTGTAAGAAGTGCCACTGGGAACTGCCACGAAATTGTGGGATGAAGAACGCGGTAGGATAAGTGACATGAGCCATGCTGGCCATCGTAATACAATAATTATGGCTTGCCAAGCGGTAGTAGATGAGCGGACCAAACAACATATCCGCCAGTTAGCAGGAGCTGCAGGCAGGGGATTTCGAGCTGACTATCACTAGACAAGGAAGCACCACCTTGGCTTAAGTTGAGTCAAAGCAAAGGCACAAAGTTGCCGATAAAACCGATTTTGGGAAAAAGAATTCGAGGATGTCATATTCAGCGACGAAAAAAATTTTAACTTGGGCGGTCCTGATGGTCACCACAAATATTGGAGGGATATTCGGAAACCCAGACAGACCTGCTACAAACGTAAACTGGGAGAGGATCGCTATTGGTATAGGTTACCTTTAGCTCAAAAGGCAAGTCCCAAATATACTTTGTGCCAATTAAGATTAACGCCGAAAAGTATATTTGGCCGTCAGCCAATGGGTATCACAGGGGATCACGTGTAACCACCCAGCCAGGGCATACCCGCCGTAAATGTGATATAACACTTGTAGTACGACTATGTTCTCCTTGCGAAGACGGCAACAGCTTAGGGTTCCCGTCTACTCGCGGGAACAAAAATTGAGAAACTCTTTAAAATAAACAAAAACAAATGAAACCGGATTTCAGCATAATCCGAATGGGACCGTAAGTCACAAGGATGGGAGCTTCCAGCAACTTCCATCCCATTGCCGCAGTGCAGGTCGTTTGTCTCAGTTTTTGGGGAGATTCAGATCCCTTCCACTTCGAAGGCGAAGTGTCGAGCCAGCCCTCAGAGCCAAGTACTTCGGCGATGATGTCACCGAAATATAAATCGTCGTTTCAAGACAAGAGACGCACAGCGACATACTAGAAAAAAAAAACGCAAATTTCGTAGACGTCACCAGGCGGCCGGAAGATGGTAGAGTGGGCGAAAAAAATCCTACCGGAATTCAAGCCATTATTCCAGCAAAGAGGTACAAGGATGTAGCTACAACGGATCTTCGCAGACGTGACCCAAAGACAGCGAGGATGGTCTTATCCCAAGGAACAGATGGGCTGGAGTCGAGAATCAGCTTCAAGGTCGGTTTCTGACGGATCTGGCGTCGAGTGGAGGACGGGATGATAGGATGATGCAGGCTGGCATCAGGATAGGGTCAAAGCCATTGCTTGTCACGATAAGCGATCGGCCGAGGCCTATAAGAAATCGATAGCAGCGCTTAGAGAGGTTTATCCAGGTGAGATTTTAGTTGCGGTTGACTGGTGCGACGTACCCAGCAGACCGAGAAATTCTGAAATTTGGTAAATACCACACGCCAGATCGTCAACAAGGGATCGGTGGACGAGCTGACCAAAAATGGCTACAAGACAGTAGCAGTACGGGTCTGCCGATCGGATGCAGCGAGTGGCAAGCCAACCACGCAGACCGCGAAGTTAGAAGACACGTATCCGGTCGATCCCCAAAGCGCAAGAACAAAAGCCGCCACAGACGAGGAGGATATCTTTGAGGGGTACTCCTCTGAGACATAGTTCACTTATTCTTTGTTCTAACTTTTTATTCACTGTACCCAAAAGGTAAAAGGGTATGCTAGTTTTGCATAACAGCCTTGACCTCGAATTAACCAAAGCTAAACCATGATTTCAATCATTCTAGCCCCCATGCGGGTTGCAAATTTGGAAAGGAAAATTACCCTTTGGGAACAGGGTTTAAAAAGAGAAGCATATATTCATTGTATACCTGGGACCCTTCAATGGTAAAAGAGTATACTCGATAAGTGCGAATTTAGGTAACACCCAAAAGTAAATGTGGTAGACGCCTCAGATGTACGAGTATACATATACCATTGGTTAGTATGACGATATGAGGCGATATAGCCATTCCCGTTTGTTCTCCACCTGTATGAATTCAAGAATCTTAGGACGTTACAGAACTAGAACATTATGCAGGACAAATTTCTGTTTATTTTGCCGATGAACCATTTCACTTTTGGTATGTTCATATGTATAGTATCAGTAGAATCTTGCGTTCTAAAAGACGATTATATTGTGAAATTAGGTCTTATCAGGACAATTGTGTTTTTGCTTGACCTAATAAACGACTATTTGCGAGCCTTGCCTGCCTGTGCATTAATTTTAATTAAATTTTCGCTTTGCTTGCCCGCTGACAGAGCGCCTCAGGTTTCGTTGTTGTTGCCGTATATGGAGTGTAATGCTGATTCTCGAGGCTGGTGTGATAAATAATGATGTGGCAACTCTTCGTTGCCTGTTCAAGTT